CGACAGTATGACTAGAAAGCCACTATCCCAGCCTTAAGGTCACCTTCTGATGCCTGTACTTACAGTTCAAAGGGACACGATTTTGTTTTTGTTTTTGTTTTTATCAGTCCATGCCTTCTGGATCTTTGAGGTCTCCTTTCAGTCTGTTGCATGGTTTGAGGGGTTAGGATTTAAATAAATGGTTTTATTTGGATTTCAGTTACCTTGATCCTCATATGCCAGTGCTTTACTGGATGCTGATTAATAAAATATATGACCCCTTCAAACAAGCTAAAAATATAGACTGTTTTACTTCCTTTACTTACAATTAGTCATTCTAAGAGAGTACACTGGGAAGAAACAAATCCCCAAAGCCATTAAGTCTTTTTTGGAGGAAGCAAGCGGGGCTTCAAATGAGTGAGATTAGTCTGCCCTCCATGTTTACCCCTGACTGCGAGGCAGAACTGGTGTCGGAATGAAAAGTCACGCAGTAGTTACCTGCCAGAGAAAAGAATCTGGACAACTCATTAACTTTTCTTGTTTTCCAGTTGCTGCTTAGAAAATTGGCTGGAGATGCATGGAGACAAAAAACGTGATGGATGCCTGACCTACTTATTTAGAAAAGGTGCCAGTGTCAGAGCCCAGGGAGTGCAATGCAGACATCTTGAAGGAAACAGAGTAGGGACTGTCCCCAGAGGATTCCATGATTATTGATGGTCTCACAGTCTCGCTTCTTCTTTGGTTCCAGCATTTGCTGCTCCTCCCTGAGTCAGTATTTCTCACCTTGGATGTCTGTGCATGAGGAACATTGTTTCCTGAGGGCAGAAGCCATACTAATTTCAATGTCCTTTATTCGTCCCTCTTCCTAGGAATTCAGGAGGAGATGGTATCTGAATATTTTTCTGCATGCCTTTTTCATAAATTAGAACCTTAATTTTGCTAACATTCCTCCAAGAGGATTTCCTGACTGTTCTGGAAGGATGTCATCCTTGGTGCTTAGCTATGGTCTGCATGGGATTAAGACAGTGTCTCTGGAGAAGGTGACACTTGTTAGATAAATTCTCCAGAAACGTCTCTGTGTGAATTGGGTGGAGTCAGTAGAACAAAACGAAAGGCCTTGACTAGGAGAGAGACTAGCATGGCAGGGGGGCTTTAAGAGTTTTAGGTAGCAGGTTGACTTGCCAGCTTGGAGAACCATGTGTGACAGCTGAAGACTTAGGATGATAGTCACTGAAGACACAGCAGTCAAATTTTAGTTAGAATAACCTGTTCAGTGTGCAAGTGGTCTCTGAGGGAATCCATATGAGACTATCTACAATGCCCCTGAACACTCATTTAAATTATCTAAAATGGCAGGCAGTCAATACTTAGGGATTTCTGAACTGAGTTTGTACTTTGCTTTTAACAACAATGCCTGGGTTTTCACTTTTCTCTTTTTGAGACAGGGTCTCATATAGGGCAGGTTGGACTTAGATTTGCTATTTTTCTGGGGATGATCTTGAACTTCTAGTCCTCCTGACTCTGACCCTGGGTTCTAGGATTCCAGGCATGTACCACCAAGCCCAGTATATGTTGTCCTGGGGATTGAATCAAGAACTTTGTGCATTCCAGGAATGCATTCTTCCCACTGAGCTACACCCGCAGCCCCTGAGAGAGTTTAATGCTTGGGTCTGTGAGGTGTCATTCAGTCAGTGAACAGTGAAGCTGCCCAATGGGTCTGCATGCTCCACTCTGCCAGATCCTCTGTCTTTTGTGTATGGTGTCTAAGGAAAGCGACAGAGCATGGGGAGCTATCTAAAGCCCAGAACAGTCTGATCCAATATTCTCGATTGCTTTCTCCTTTGTTTCAGAAAGTATTATTCTTCCTGTGAGAATTTGTGCATAGTGGAGAACTCTGAGTGATGGACAGTGGGTTACAAGCGGCAGCTTGAGACATGCACGTGGGAAACAGTGTGAGAACGTATCCAATTCTTCATCTTCAGAGAGTGGAGTGAAACACAGTAATGGCTAGAGAAACAGATAAAAGAGCGCTCTCTGCCCTGGGATTTATGTTGGTCACCTGGCGCTGTAAAATAATGGAGCCGTGTACAATGGATATGGATTGCCAGCATTGGCCAGGACTTTTCATCCCTCAACCAAAGCAATCCTCCCATCAGAGTCCCCTAATCCTATGGCTGTCTTGAGGAAGATGTTTTAAAATATTTATTTACTTGTGTGTTGGGAGGCAGGGAGGTGCCTTTGCCATAGCATGTGTGTCAAGGTCAGAGGTCAATCTTTCAGGAGTTGGTTCCTTCTGTCCATCGTGTTGAAGTAAGGAGTCTTTGGTTTGTGTTGTGTCTTAGCCTTCTGAACCATCTCCGTGGCATGGGAAGATTTTAAGAAATAAGTAATGTGCACAATCCAATTAGAGCAGCTTACATTAAAGTACTATGGCTGACAACTTTGTAAGGGGGTATTTTGTACTCAGAAGAGTAGCTTGTTAATGCTAGTAGCTGGAGACCTGGGAAAATTGTCTTAGCATTTTTCTGAGACAGATTTCTTTAGCATCTTGTTCTGTGAGATCAACTTTAAGAACATCTTTAATATATATATATATATATATATATATATATATAATGTGTACTAATATAATAAGTATGTTATATATTATATATGTATTGTATAGATAGACATGTCAATATGGCATAATATAAATTTGTAATTGGATTATCTAGAAGAATGCTGAAATTATCCATGATGTAACTGTAGACAACTCCCTAGACCTCTACAGACCCAAATTTCTCACTGATGACCTGGAGACAGAGTGGAAGCATCAGGAAGGTGGGGGTGTCTCCTTATGTGTAACAACTGTGTATAACTGGTCACTGGAGAGATTTGACTGCGCAGGAGAGTCCATGCCAGACTCCAAGTCTATATGCCTCCAGCTTCACGTCCCTCAGCTAAAGTAAACCTTTGCAGAGAGAGGAGAGGTGGCTCCCCATCCTGAAAGTGACAAAATTTTCTAAACCTGAATTTAAAAAAAAAAAAACCTATCACCTCTACCTACTCATTGTCAGTTAATTGATAGAGAAATCTTAGTAGGTTGGGATTTCGGTTGCTAAATTAAGACATCCAAATAAATGTTCAGTTAAAGGAAATAAAGAGCATCAGTGTCTACACACTCCAGTCATTTAAGCTTCTGTTGGTGCTCTAATACCCTTTTAAGTGTCTTTTATGTTTTCTGAGATTCTGCTTGGAACAAAGAGGCTTTGGGCATTTAGCAGTATAATTCAAGAGAGATATCAGTTCTTCCAGTTGCACGAGGCACTGTTTCCCTGAGTGTGGTTGTAGTCATGACAGCTTAATACCCCATGGTGCAGACAACTTGGAAACATGGTCTCAATGATAGAGACCTGGCTACCTGGCTAGGCAACCTGTCTGCCAAACATGGAGCAAGGACTCATAAGCTTGCCTTTTAATAAAATTATCATCCATGTCTTTCATTGATCTAACAATAAACCCAAAATAAGACCCAAAAGTTTATTATTTGAAAAGACCAATACCTGGCCTGATGAGACTCATTCAAACACAAACTGCACCCAGAGGCCATGACAAAAAAAAAAAAAAAACCATGGGGGAAACTGCTGTATTCGGAAAATTGAAAGACACCGATTGTGGTGTTTTGAATGAAAAATGTGCCCCACAATCTCAGGTGTTTGAACACTTGGTCCCCAGTTGGTGGTCCTGTGTGTGAAGTTTTAGGAGACCCTTTGCTGGAGGAAGTGTGTCCCTGGGGTGGACCCTGGGAGGTTACAGCATTGGCCTGCTGTAGTTTGTTCTCTCTGCTTTGAGATTGTGGTTCAGGATGTGAGCTCCCAGCTTCCTGCTGCCGCCACCATACTTCTAGTTGACCATCATGAACTCTTGTCTCTGAAACTATAAGCTAAAATAGACTCTCCCTTCCTGAAGTTGCTTCTACTCATGGTGTTCTATCACACTAATACCAAAGTAACTGGTACACCAATAATTCAGAAAATGTATATTCATCAAAAATAAATGCTTAGATTTTCTAGTTTGGAGAGTCTGTCTTATCTGGGTTGGTTTCCCTGACACACAATAGGATTGGGTATCACTTGGACATTGGTTCATTTGGCCTGCTTTTCTCAAGTTAAAGCCTTGAATCCCAGGTTTCAAGACTCCATGTAGTTCCTCTGACCCTGGTGACCAATCAGGAATCTGAGGGCTGATCAGATCTCTAAACTGCTCTGCCACTGTCTCCACAGTGATGCTAACAATGCCACCTGAAGTGGCTGTGGTCTTTACTAATAGTACTTCTTGTAGGAAACTCTCAGAACTCATCCAAGATAATAAAATCATAAAAATTAGATGGTATTGAGATGATTGAAAGGCATTACATCTACATTAAATATAGTTGGGCCTTATGGGGACTAGAAACAAGAACTCGCTTCAACCGCTTTCTAGGTCCCTCTTCCTCTTTCTCTTTCCCACATTCTCATCTTTGCTTCTTCTTGGTAAATCTAGCTTTATTGATTTCCTCTCATTTAATCTTTCATTTTTTACATAAGCTCTGCCCTTCTATCCAGTTCCAATTCCACTAGATGTGACCTTAACACCTCGTCTAAACTATCTTAGTATCAAATCCAAAATCACGGGACTTGAAGTTAGTGGCTCTGGGGTTTGTGGAAAGAAAAGGATTGCTATGTGCATTGACTAATACAGGGCCCAAACTATACTACCCTCCCACATCCCACATCCTCTACCCGCTTCTAACAGTGACCACAGCTGGGGCAACCGGTGATTGCTACCCGTACCTAAGAAGAAGGGGTCACTAGAAGGTTTGACACTTTGTATATTTCATTTTATTTTCTGAGTTTTGTTTAGCAGCCTCTTTTGGGATTGACTCCTGGTGAGGTCCCTTCCATGGATCAAGGCTTCACCTGTGGGACGCAGTGTGGGGAAGAAATGATTCTTTCCTAGGAAAAAATTACTTCTTGAAAGAATGCTCGAACACCAAGAGAATATGTGAGACCATTACATAGATATATATTTGATATGATATGTGATTTCTGTTACAGGTTAATATTTATTTTATTATCAGTAAGAGTGAGTTACATATTACTCAAAGTATTGGATACAATAATCAGAAAACAAACGTAATTGGTCCAGAATTTAAAACTTCTGAGAAAAGTGCTGGCACAGGACTTGATAAACCTCTCATTTCTGTTCCATTTTACCCTAAAAAAAAAAAAAAAAAGACTTCCCACGTTGTAGAATTAAAAAACAAAACAAAACCAAGTTTCCTTATATTCTGACAACTTCAGGACAGAAAATTTGCCATACATTATCCAAATTCTTTGCTCCTGGGGCGTATTCCTCAGCGCTGTCCTTTCTTTTGTCTATGCTTTCACCTGTGCCTCTACCTAAGTAGGAACTGAAGTGCTCTTAACATGTTTATTATTACAGAAGAACAGTGAGACACAGCATTTCAGAAAGGGAGGGGAGAAGGGGAAGTGAGCGAAGAGGGAAAAGGCATGTATGTCAGACAAGGGAATAGGTACTAAACATGTTAAACTGGATATGAGTCAGATGGCTACATAGCTTCTCTACTTGATGAGTATGGTTATCATTAAGCAATTAAACAAGGTTAAAACTCCAAAGATTCTGAATGTGTGCTGTATTAATCACCCACTCTCATAAGCTTTCATTTAGTTTCCTGGGTATTTCCTCAGTGGGGAAAGTCAACCTTTTCCGTTCCAAGATGGTTTTCTGGGGCTACTAAAAGCTCTTCTTTGGCTATCAATTCCTCTCCTTAGCCACTGGACTTACTTAGAAGTGTCTTTAACACGAGAAGTAGCTTTTAAACCGTTCACCATCGGGCTTTGTACTAAGAGAACGTTAAATGGATGCTAGAATGCGGGTAGAATAGAGAGACTCAATGCTTGGGAGCCTACACTCCAAGACTTTATATCCCAAACCTGCCTAGAGTTCCCTAGCTCTGAGGCTTGGGTGCTTGGATGCTCCAGACTGACCTCTCCACTCCCTGCTCTCTGGCACCCACAAGTTCCATGGGAATGCACCCTCCATAGTTGTTCTTGTCTCTAATCAATTTCCTGTAGGATCTTAAGATGAACGTCCTTGTTCTGCCTCATTGTGAGCCCCGAAAAACCTCTCTGCAAACCCACAGGAAGACAGCGAGATGCACTTTGGTCATCTTTCACACTGGGCTTTCCCAGTGTTTCCCTCTGTGTTTCCCAGCCAGTGGGCTGATTTTACAGGACCAACCGGTGCTTACTTCTTTGTTAGTCCCTCTTTCTGCTTTATTCTCCTTCTCCATGCGTCCCTGTGTTCCAAATTTGCTAAGTTCCCAGGAAGTGAAGGAAATGCCTGGTAGGGTACTCAGTTTCGGGAGTGAAAGTCACTTGCAAATGAACTAGCCACCTATGTAATTCTTAAACCACCACTTGTATAATGGCATCGTTTGGCAAATTCCTAGAAAGGAGTGCTTACTAGTTTATTAATTGGTTTGCTAAGGGAGATCTACTGCTCTTCAGGAAATAGTCAAACTCTTCTTGTTGAAAAGGATTTTACACAGAGAACACAGTCCAGTGAAGTCCATAAATGGAATTAAAATAAAAACTTTTTTTTGATGAAGTTCACCTAATGCATTTGAAATGAAAACCTGCTTAAAGTTCAATTTATACAGTTAAGGGTGGTGGTGCTTGGAGTATGAGAAAAGAGAAAAATACTTCCATACATTTGGTTCTGCCTTTCAAAAGGTATCATCTATATAGAAGAAAGTGTGTGTGTGTGTGTGTGTGTGTGTGTGTACACATGTGAGTCTGTTTACACAAACAGCCCTGTTCTAACAGACAAACATAAGACACAGCCTCCTCAGTTACTCTCGGAAGGATGGCTTCTTTTTGCCGATTTGATTTAAATATCAATCTCAATCCAGAACAATATCAAGCTCAGACAGAAGCCCAGATTATGGGTCAGGTCTGAGGCTAACCGTAGGCTTCCTTCAAGAACGAGAAGCGAATCCTTCTGTGCACTGACCACAATTTAGTCCCGACACTTTCCTACATCCCAGACCCACTTTTGGCTGTGGCTGTGCTCAGAAGCATGAGACACAAGCACTCCGGGGCTCACACACTAAGTTTCCTACTTTCTCAGGCAATTTGCTCAAGGGAAACTGGGGTGAGGGGGAGGCAGGGAGGAGGGAGGAGGCGGGGGGATGCTAAATAAGTGTTATGCATTCTTTTCCTCCAGAGGTCATCCTACTTTTTCTAATTTCTCATATTTAAAAGAATGTATTTTCTTCTCATTGCCATGGAAACTGCTATTAACACAGAGAGGTTTTTTTTTTTCTCCTCCAGAAAGTTTCCAGGCCAATCTTAATATATTTGGCCTCTCCTTTGGAGACAGAATACTTACCGCCCATTTATTGCCTTAGATGTTAGAAGATACACATGTGTATATATTGCTTCAAATTTGAAATTATATAGAGATACGGCAGATATATGGATATATGATGCTGCTGTTGGCTGCAGAAGCATGCCTTCCTGAATTCTTTCTTAGTCCCAAGGCACCGCCCTTGAGGCGTCTCACCCCCACTCCCACACCTCATCCTCCTTGGACAAGCGTGGCCACTCACACAGCTTGTAAGAATAGTCAGTTGAGGTCCCCAAAACAGGAGCCACCTGGGTGAGTGTGAAACACTGAGTTACCTCTTTGGGCAGTTTTAGACATTTTGCTATTTCAATTAATATGAAGAAAATATTTAAAGTCAGAAAAGTTTTTTTCCAAACAGTCCAATCAGATTCTTGGGTACTAGCATTTCTAACTGGGAGAGGCGAAGGTTGACTTTTTTCCTCGTGGTTTGGAGGTGTAAGGGCTGAACTGAAATGGATTGGGCTCAGACTGGCTTTGCAAAGCCTACTCTATGCATCGTAGCTCCTCTTTAGAATGTATAAAGGAACGCTAGGAACGAGAGGCCGGTGTGGGAAACAAGGTACTTGCTTAAAAATCGAATGGTGGCTGCCCTTTAAACAGCTTCCTGCTTTTTACTGACTGAAGTCAGAAATCGTTAGAGGATGAGAATTAAAACAATAAACAAGACCAGTCAAATGCGCTTGAAAGGGGACCGTTTTCTTTTCAGCCTGGTTCAAAGAGCAATCTAACACCTATTCTTTTCACAGACGGCTTTATGGTAAGCAGTATATTTTTCTGTGACTCGGGCTGACAGAAACTTGGTGGACAGACCTTCATTACAAAGCAGTCAGAAGGAAGAGATGGAAGCAAAGGCCTTTAGTAGACCACAGATCCACATCTGAACCAACATGAGCCAAAGAATTGGCAACAGTCTAGGGGTTGCCTTTTTTTGGGTATCTTGGAGCAAAGCTGCTATGGGAAAATGTGCAGGTGCTTGGGAGATGCTGTGTTACTACAGAGGATAGACGTCAACTCACAGGGTGATTTTTGAAGCCTGGTAATCTGACAATTGACCAGCTGACTACTTGATTAGCTCCTTATAAAACTTGGAGCGCACAAAACGGGGCAGCGAATCCTTCTCCATCAGGGCGTAGATTCTTTTCTGGGCTAGGTCAAAACTGCTCGGGGACGGTTCCACCAGGTTCTTCATGGTGATGTCTTTAGTGAAATGATCGATGTTCACCTGTGGGCCAGGAAACAGGGTCACTGAGTCAGCGTAGGCTTCAGGATTGGATGAGGGGCCAGAGCAGCAGGATTCTCACCAGCAAGACAAGGACAGAAGGGATGTCATGCAAAGGGAGAAAGACCACTGCTGTTTCAGAAGCAGTGGGGTGAGGAAGCTGATGCTGCAGCGATCACATGACTCGGATTCAGAGGCAACTGGCATTAGACATTTACCAGGTGGCCTCCACCTGTAGCCAATCTATGCATATGCTATTTCATCCTTCAATAACCTAAGAATATATCTACAAGTTAAGCGGCTCAAGATCATATCTCTGGTAAGAGGCTTTTTGGCTTTTTTTTTTGTTTTTTTTTTTTTGGTTTTTCAAGACAGGGTTTCTCTGTATAACAGCCCTAGCTGTCCTAGAACTCACTCCTGTAGACGAGGCTGGCCTTGAACTCACAGAGATCCGCCTGTCTCTGCCTCCCTGGTGCTGGGATTAAAGGTGTGCCTACTACGGCCTGGCTCTGTTAAGTGCTTTTATCAAACAGATTTGAATGCAAGTGAACTAATACTTGATTTCACAGACTTTCTACTCATTAGGTATCCTGCCTTCTGATGACAGTGAAGAACTGGTGACCAGGGAGCCTTACTTTAGAACGAGTCTTCCCTGGAAACAAACCAGGAGGCAGCAGTTCTGACCAGATAACAAGCACAGCGAAGAAGCAGCACTTTGTCTACAGAGTGGTTAGTTTGTCCTGGGGGATTGAATCCGGGACCTGCTGCACACACACTAACCAAGGGCTTTACCAACTGACTAACACCTCCACACCCACATCTGTCTCTTGAAAGGACCAGCTAAGGATGCTACACAGCCACAGGAATAAATATTTCATGTTGTCTCTTTAAGATTTGTTACATATGCATAAGAAGAGAGATGACAGGAATCTTTCCCTTTACAAATCATCTCTCAGTCACCCATGTGCTGGACTTGAGACCTTGATGACAATTCAGTGTCTACATTGGATTCAAGAGAACCATGGACAACAGGACCTGACCAGATGGACAGGTCTCGCTGTGGCCATCTTGGATTTTTCAACAAGCTTTTTGGTTTGGTTTCGTCGATAGCAAAGATAAGAATAGACAGACTTCCCCAAAGCTTCCTTGAAACCTGAGCATATCTGGTCTTCATCAGTCAATTAGTGGTATACTGGCTTTAAATACCTTTTGCACTGTTACCTTGTTTTATTTTGGTTCCCATGGTTCCCATGGACAGTAAATCCTGCTGCCTCAATAAAGGACGAATGTCAAAGGCTAGAAATAGGGGACTCACTGCATCGATTAGTTGGAACATTCATGTGCTTTTTTCTACATCTATTGTTTGTTTAATTCTCATAACATTACAAAACAGCTGTAGTCAGTCTTACATCCCAAATGGAAGAAAATAGACCCCACATTTTATCCCAAATCTTACATTGGGTTCTTTCGCCCTTAAGGTTGGTTGTATGGTACTGAAGAGCCATTGCTGCACAGTGGTCTGTACAGCATTCAGGTCAGACGTGCTTGACGCTATCACACTGCCCTTGTATTCAGTAGCTACATACTGGGCACAAGCACAGGTAGCCTTCAGCTCAAATGCTGTGCCAGCAGCTCATGAAGTTTTGCCTGGGAATGTGTTGATCTGGCTCTTAAATGGATTCACTCAGCCACCTACCCACCAGTACCAACCTCTTTAGGGGCCTCTGTCTGGATGAATTCCTCATAAATTTGCTTTGCCTTCTCCGCCATTTTGACTGGGGATTTTATCTTCTTGTAATCCTCACAGGCAACCCAGAACTCAAGGTTTTCCTCACTGAACTCAGATCTCAGGAAACCTTTGAAGCTGGCAAGTCCATCTAGGAAGTGAAAAGTCAGTAGGGAGATTTCATTAATTGATTTGACAAACTATATCTAGCTAAAAACCCCAATTTTACTTCCAGTACATTCTGTCATTGATGTAAAAAAAAATCTTACAAATGGAAACTCATTTAATTTTTATTATACACACCAAGAGCAGGAGCTATAAGTGTCCTGTTTTATAAATGAGCTCACAGAAGTCAAGCGACTGCTCCAGAATGTCCAGCAAGTAAGAAGAGCGTTGGAACTTAAAACCAGGTTCTGATTCTGTAGCCGCGCGCATTTGTCTGTTATTCTAAACTACTTCTCAAAAGATGTGTGATTCTGTTTCTTGGAACAGGAACCTTCCATTAGGAGTTTCCTATTCTCACCTGAACTTGAACTGAGAGAAAAACATAAGGTGGAACAAAGATGCTAGGGATGACATGGGAAGGCTCCATCATGCTGTCCCATGTGCTGACTTTTAGTTTATCTGCCTTTACCCCTTCATCCACATGCAGGCAGGCTGGGACAGAGATGCAGAGGCAGCAGAGAAGATCGCTGCTTGTCATCCACTCTGACACTGGACAGAGGCCTTTGCCTCACAGTCTTTTACACAAGCGAATGCATTCAGGTGGCAAATGTCCATGACACTGAGGTTTTGCCGTCAATACTGATGACATTCAGGGCACACATCAACTCCGAGGAAAACCTTTATTGTTAGTAGTGGAAGCTGAATGAAGAGCCTCGTGCATACTACGCAAGCACTCTACCACAAATCTATATTTCTAGCCCCCAAAAACATATTTAAAACTTGGTTTGTCAAAGTAAGTAATATTTATAATGAATGACTGCCAGAAACTATTATCCCGTTTCCTCTTTTTGCAGGTGACTTTTGAGTGAGTGCAAATACATCACTCTGATAAATCAAACAAGCCTGGTTCCCTAGGAGACTTTAGAGATTCCACGGAAAGTAGAAAGAAAAAACAATGAAGACTTGTTGATCATCTGTACAACAGAAGCCATTGGAGCATAGCAACAGAATCCCAGAAGGAGCCTAAGTTCAGTTCAGAAGGAAGGAAGGTGAAATAGGAATGTACAGATTAACATCTGGATGACAGGGCCAGGTGAAGCTGTCACATACAGGTCGTTCCTGTGACCACCAGTTGGGTTTATGTCAGTGTGTAGAAGCTATGTAACAGAGCAACTGTGAGTTTGTAAAGGACTGTATGTGCTAACTGTGTACATGTGATAATCATGGGCTCTGCGCTTTCCTGTTTCCTTCCCACCCTTCAGTACTAACCTCCCAAGGGGTAGATGCAGAGAGCTCATGAAGAGGACTTAACAAGGTAGTGGAGATGAATAATAAAGAAAAATAAATCTAAACTTATTTTTAGATTTAGGATGGGCATGTGTACATGTGCATTTGCACATCATACATAAAACTATCTAAACCAAAACTAACAGTGATCTTAGCATTTGGTTCACAGCAGGAAGAGAACTGGTGAACCAGCTTCCCATCACGGAGACCTGTGCCCTGAATACTGACTTCATAGCGCTGGTGAATTCCACAATACAATAGTAAGGCTTTTTGTCAATGTGTGTGCTTTAAACCCAAACACATGAAATAGCTTTATGCCCCATTGGGCTGGGGGCCACTTAAAGCGACCCCGTCCCCTATCTAGCTTTCTGGTATCTAGGGATTCTCTTAGCAGACTTGTCTGCAGTCACTCCTCATCAGCTTTCTGCACTCTGGTTTTCTATTGGTCTTTTCCTCAGACGCTTTCTCTGATGAATTCCTGTCACCCCTGGACATCTTTTTTGAGTCAGAATTTTTCTGATTCCAGGCCAAACAGCTCTGTTTTACAAGGTACACGTATCTTTCTTACCCCACTTCTTTTACCTGGGGGCTTCCCAGCACAGAACTCTAGCACACAACCCCAAGAAAGCACTCTGGGGCCTGTATGAGCCAGCACAGAGCCTCAAATTACCTCTCAGCATACCCAGGCATGCCACTATCCAGGACTCTGAGTAGTGGGATGCCTGGGTATCCATCTGATGATTGACCATAAGCATTCTGCGGGTGTGGTACCCATACATCATATGGCACCAATACATTATAATTCAGAGCTGGCCCTAATGAATGATAGCAATTTTTGACATTAGGAGAATCAAAGAAACAGCCTTATATAAGAGGGGGAACCACCTGTAAAACCCCTTTGAGGGTAATAGGAGCATTAAACAAACCCAAGACTCTAAGTCAGATTGTTATAAAATTTGAAAATGAGATTAGTACAAATACTTCAGCAGAGATGAATTAGGGGAAGACACTGAAATAGCATTGGTAATTTATATAAAAAATGGCATGATTCATTGGTTCAAAACTCAGACTTCAGACGCTAGATTGCTTAGTGGTGAATCTTGACACCTTTATTATGAAAGGATATTTAGCCTCACGGAGCCTCTATTGCTTTGTATGTCAAATGCAAACAATAATTAAAGCTGGATGACAGGACTGTGGTACAGGACTGAATAGCTCACGTGTGGCTTTTATATGGTGGCAAGCATAATTTCATAAGTTCAGTACACACTGGCTTTCTTCATCGTCATTTGCACCAAATTCAACACTACTACTTGTCACCATTACAAGCCCAACCCAAATGTTGCCTCATCCATGACATCACCTCCCCCCGCCCCCCCCCCCCCCCCCCCCCGTCACCTATTCACCCTTGAGGATTTTTGCCAATGGAGGGGAGACATCACTTTCTCCCCGGCCCACCCACCCCCACCAATTGGAAATACCTGCTGTTCAGCCATCTTTTCCATGAGGCTGTTAATTATTTGAGTTCTGAATCTTCGCTTCCCCTTTCCTACCTCCCTCCTCAAATATATGCACCCAATTTTTAATAGTGGATCTCAGTGAACTATGAAATCAGCAGATCCCTCCAACCCACCGGACCAAAGAACATGAACTTTAAAGAAAAGTAAATACCCCAATTTTGTTACTGCTACCGTATTGAACATCAGAGGCAAGCTACCTAGCTCTCGGAATAATGGATGCTTTTTCTGAAAAAAGAAATGGTTGTTGTACTTAAGTCTCAAGATGACTTCGATCACTAAATAGACCAATATATGCAAATTTCTTAGTGTGTGTATGTATAGTATTTATAGAAAGAAAGAGAGGGAGAGGGAGAGAAATATAATGGAGAAGTGATGGACAGACAATAACAACTATACACACACATGAACAAGGCATACATGCTACATGAATAAAAGTATCTTTCATATCACTTTCATTATTATCATTGTCACAAGTGGAAATCATGGCTGTCCATCAGTGAGATGATGAGAATGGTGGACCAGGACATAGAAGGGAGAAAACTGGAAAGCAGAGAGGAGGAAGCCAAGGCAGGCGTGAAGATGGAAGCTGAAGGATGAGCCTGGGCCGGCTGCTCTGTGCCTTGAGGGACAGTCCAGCCCACAGGGGTGTCTGAGGAAATGCTCTGACCTTTTACAACCCTTGGGAAAAGAGGACCCAAATAAAAACTGTGTTGCCACAGACTGACTTTATCCTTGTTTGCTCTTAAAAATGCTCAAGTGGGAGAACCCGTATCCCCGACGGTGCTAGGGGGAGTTATATAAGCTCCCCCGTGCAATCTATTTTTGTTTTCTTAAAGATCAACATGCTTGTTATGTACCCTATAGACCTAACAAATGGAAACAGATGGTTTCTCTCTTAGAACTGAAGGAGAAACTTTAAGAATGTGGTATATTTTAAGAAAAACGTCAAAGACCCCAAATGATTAAAAATCATTTTTAGGGCCAGTGATAAGGCTCAGCTGGTGAGAGCATGGGCTGGCAGACCTGATGAGCTAGTTCCATTCCCGAACCCTCAGTAACAAGAGAGAGCGCCAACTCCTGGAAGCTGCCCCCTGGCCTCCCCCCAACAAACACACACAGATGTGTGTGCATGTATTACTAATGCATAAAATAATTGAAAAACAAATTTGAGTAAGTAGGTTCTTGCTAACAAGAAAAGATTGAATAGCAGCCTGCTTGAGTTTATTTCTACTACAGAAAATTTTGATTTAATGAAAGCTTGGGTAACTCTATCAACCCTAAGAGGCAATGGCCCATATTAACACAAAAATTTCCAAATGTTCCTCATGAATCAGCAAAAATGTTACCCCTACCCCTCAGTTTTAATGTGTGTGTGTGTGGTGTGTGTGTGTTGTTGTTGTTGTTTAATGTCTTATTCTGTAGTCCAGATGGGTCGAGAACTCACCATGTGTCCCAAGCTAGCCTTAAATTCATAGCAATGCACTTGTCTCAGACTCCTGTAGTGATATTTTGTTTGTGATTTAGCAAATAAGGCTTGACTGAAGATCAGAGTACAGAGCTAAACTACGACTTAGCCATAGAAGCCAGGCAGAGGTGGCACACACCTTTAATACCAACACTCAGGAGACAAAGGCAGGTGGATCTCTGTGAGTTCAAGGCCATCCTAGGCTACACAAGATTGAATCAGTCTAAAAGAGAAACAGAGCTCACACCTTTGGTGTTAGCACTTGGGAGCATACATGCTTTTAATCCCAGTACTAGGGAGGTGGAGACAGGAGTGATATGGCTGGGTGGAGAAAGGAATATAATAAGGCGGGAGGAGACAGGAGCTCAGAGCACTCATTCTGAGAATTCGTGGGCACAGGATCTTGCCCCCCTTCAGTCTGAGGATTCAGTAGAGGTGAAAAGTCTCTCTGGTGGCTAGCTGCTGTGTTTCTCTGATCTTGCAGCATTTACCCCAGTATCTGACTCTGGGTTTTTATTAGTAAGACCCATTAGAATTCCAGCAACACTTTCCCTACTGGCCATCTGGACAACTCCAGCCTCAGGATGCCCTTTCTGTGTTCAGACCACAACTTGGAAAAGGACATGAGCAGAAAGAAGGTGCTCTGTGTTTGTCCCCATTCAGACCCTCGCGAGAACCACGTGAACTTACAGTTGTTCTGGAGAAGCTTGTCCAGGGAATGGCGCCACTGCAGGGCCTCATCCAGCGAGGGCCTAAATCAATGATAAGGACAGAGAAGGGTGACCGCGTAAGAAGGAAGTTAACCACATGCATGACAACGACTCGATCCTCGTTTCTCAGATGGAAACGACACAACAGTCAGGATTGGGTAGTAGGATTATTTTCTGCAGTTGGGTCTCATGAGCTGTTGGCTATCTGGTATCTACAGTGCATTTTTATTGCCTTTTGAACAATCTGACCAGACAGGTCTTTTTTGGAGTCTGTTTGTTCTGCGGTCATGTCTAACAGTCTTATATATTCCATAGGAGTAAGTCCAAAGACAATCTTTATTTCAAATGTGTTAATGAAATCCAATCATCCCGTCACAGAGGGTAAACTAATCTTAAGTTTCACTACTAACTTAATAGATGTGGTATTTGATTCTACATCCCAATGCCAAAGTCATCTCACTAAGACTAATAGAAGATAGTCAGCTTGATTTTGTCCCATATTAGAAGTATGGTTGAAAAATAAAATCTATATTTATTTATTATTCTCCTTCCAATTAACATAGAGAGACCCTTTTGGAAGATTTTTTTTTTCCAAAAGAAAAGCATTAATATCTCCTAAGTCAGAGTGTCAAGCTTAAATGCTGGAGACACTGACTCAAAAGGTTTAGTCACCAAGATATAACTTATGCCTTGACTGCTGTTACCTGAACATCTGCATCCACAGAAAGCCCACAGCTGTACTTTGTTAACCACCAAGTCTCTTCTTTCATCAGAATGCACAAAGGTGAGCTGCTGTTGTCTGAGGGGAAAGAGCTGACTTTATCTTCCTGTGTTCACCGAGTTTGAACCCTTGAATGACTACATTTGGTCTTTATCATCCAATTAAAGCAGACTGGCAAAACATTTATTTTGAGACAAAGTTGAAGATGTGTTTTTATCCCCAAGGTCTTAGATTGTTTAGTAACTGAGACAATTCACACGTGTATGTGTATTGTGTATGTGTGTGTTTATACTTTATTGTAACCTATATTATATATAGAAATAATATATATTATTTTGCATGAACAAGTTTACAATGTGTTTAGTACTTTACATATAGCAGACAACCATCAAGTCCAGATGTTCTCAGAATCAAGAGACTGTTATACAATGGGACAATAGGAACTAACTCAAAGCAAAGGGTAGGCCTGGGTCACTCCCTGAGCCTCCTGATTTTATAAACAGTCTCATAAAATGAAATAGCTTGTCCTGCCCTTGTTCTTTGGTTAGCATAAAGGCACACAGGAAGAAGCAATGCCACGAGCAGGTGCCCTGACTTACACATGTTACCAGATGCAATTTGTCCCAAACGGTCTCATTATAAAGCCAAGTAATGGTCAATATCAGCAGCACATCACGACCAAGATTAAATTCCTGAAAGAGACATGTGCTGAGCCTGCTTGGGGGTGAAATTAGACCAAATTGATTTAAGGACATAGTTGAGTAGGACAGATCCCCCCACGGCATGTAGCCCAGAGTTCTGATTACCAGTCGAGGAGGTAACAGGTTCATCCTGTCCTGATTCTCAGAATTTGCCAGCCCTCATTAAGCGTGACTTCTTTGGAAACAAGAGAGATGCAGATCCAAATGACCAATGAGCATCCGGATTGGCAAGGTCATTGCTGACCACGGAGTGTGAGCACAGAGCTCTCCCTGTGTGGGTGTGAGTGACAGGGAGGAAGCTGGCTCAGATGAAAAACAAGATAAACATTTATAGGAGTAATTGACTATGTGTTTTATAATGTCCAGTGCAAATACCACCTGATTCAGGAAGTGACCACATCGGTTTGGAAACGACAGCTTTTTCCCCTCCTAACTGCTTTCCACTTGCTAAATAGTTCATATACGAATAGGACACACAACCCCTGCAAAGGTCAGGTATCATTCCTAGAGAACGTTCCCATTCTTCTTATTCCCACAGAAGCAGTCTGAAGGAATAAGTGAGGTTGGCTGCAAAGACGAAGAAAATATGTTCAATTTGGAACCTGCATATGGACATCAAAACAAGGCAAGTAGCTCATCTAGAGTTCCCATCTGTTGGCCATTGGATAAAGACTCAATCCATGTTTATTTAGACCTGATGGGTCATGAGCAAAATATACTGTGAAGGACTTCTTTCAATAAACAGGGGCCAAATTGATAGGTAACCAAAGTCTGGCTCCGTTTACCCAGAGGCAGCTTTGTTGAAAACCACAGATGACTCACTATTTAGATTTGAATGAACAGAGCCATGAGCTACACCTGTTGGCAACATAGGTCAATACTAGTCTTGGGAAAGAATTTAACTTGGTGGCACCAATGGCTGGATTTTATAGTTTTGGTTTCCTTTTTGTTTTGATTTAGTTGGTGATCTATACAGTGTCTGGTGTATATATACTTGATTATGCTTGATCATGTTTTCCTGGGTTCTTGCTTCTGACAAAGAAAACAAACCTCGAGTTCATTGGTGTCATTTGTGAGCGCCCCCTTTTTTCTTCCTTACTGTCCTAGAGAACACACGCAGGCTCAAGTCCATGAGCATTTCTTGTGTCCTTAGACCCATGGCCTTTTGGCACCATGAATATGTTACATACTTTTGAAAGGCCTTTTCTTTGTATCCGTAAAGTTGCACATATTCCCTGTCAAGGCTCACTCTACAGTTAACCTGGTGCAGGAACACACAGGATACCATGCTGTGACTGTTCGTCACCAGCCAGGGTTTGGACTAGCTATTTGTGGAGGTCATTCTGGGGCTTTAAAGTGGTAAACACAATAATATCAATACTTTCAGTTAAAAATTGATAACAGATGTCAAAGAAGAACATTTAGAGTTTAAAAACCTCAAAGAAGGACGTTTAGAGTATAAAAACCTGCTTGAAAGAGTGTCTGCCCCTGACATCTTGTAATTCAGCATATTACAAACCATAATGCTATTACAAACTCAATGTATGTAGCTTACAAATTTTGGTTATCATTCATTCTGAGCCTTTGGAAAGACAGAGAGTGGGCAAAGGAGGGGAGGGAGAGGGGAAGACAGGGCCAGGAGTTAAGGAAGAGAGTTCTGATAAGGAGGGAGCTAAGACAAAACAGGTCAAGTCTGTGTTGAGTCAGACACCCAGCCTTAGGAACAACACCTTCATCAAGGAAGTAGGGCTGACAGAGCAGATGAAAGTCTGCAAATATCATCCAATGAAAGCAAAGAGAGAGAAAGGTGTAAGAGCCAAAAGGATGAGGGAGAGAATTTTTTCCAGCATGAAATAATACTTGTTATCTCCTAATGGAAGAAGACCCAGGACCAGATTTTGAATCCTGAAGTAATAATAGAAGCTGGGATTTGGCATAAGACTATGGATAGCTTGTTTTCTGTTGTTTTCCAGGGTCTCATTTTTTTTAGTCAGATGAAAAGTTAAAATATATTACAAAATAGAAAGTACTTACTCAAAGTAATTGCCCAAAGAAGATGAGAGAAGCTAAAAATACATATGTTCAATCAAGAGATTTATTTTCTCCTCAGAAAATAAATCAGATTTAAAAAAATACAGAGAAATGTGTAAGTGAAGATATGAGTTTGGCTGAGCTCAGGAAGAGCAAGGCCATTCCCTGAAGGCTAAAAGCCCAGAAACCCACCCTATGTAAAGAGGCAGAGCAGAGCATGCGTGCTTGCAAGGGGCACTCGTTCAGTTCACGGTGGAAGGCGGCAGTCACACACAGCAGCCCCTGGGGATGAGAGGGGTTGTTCTTTTTCTCAAAGACAAACAATATTTTTGGAAGAAGAGAGGGGATAGAAGACAAGAAGAGCAAATAAGACAATGAATTTCAGGCCTGGGTTTCTCCAACAGTGGCTCTCTTGACTCCCTAAGAGCCAAGTGGTTCGGGTGTCTGTGTGGCGTTCTAGAGAAGAGATCAAAGCAGGAAATAGAGAGCTACATTTGAGATGTTAATCCCAACAGATCAATAATTACCACATTGTTTGCCTCAAAATAGACTTTTTGACCCGCTGGCTATGCAGTGTGGTTCTGCTGTTACTAGGACAGGCAGCCTGCGGCCTCGGGCTTCACATTCAATTAGTTTCTCCTTTTTAAATGTAGAAAATCCAATTATGCCTCACTTCCGGTTTGGGAACACTTTGAAGTAATAAAAGGAGGAAAATGGAAATATCCACTTAGGATGATGGAAAATGACTTTAAAGCAGAATAACCCAGTTCTGCATCTTCCAGACAGTCAACTATTATTAAGTTGAAGGTCATTTGGACAAAGAATGGGTTGGCCAATTTATACAAATATTAAATTAAGAAAGAGAAATGGAAGTTAAAAAGAACTCCTGTACTTTCCCCACACGTCTGTGATCTTGAAGCTTTTAGGTGGCATGACGAAGGAGTTGGCATCCTTTTAACTTTCTGGCTTCCTTTCTTCTTCATTTCTATGGGTACCTCTGCTATAAAGGGAAGATTGAGAGCATCTGTCTGAACAGTAAGCGTCTAGCGAGCTAATGGAAGATGGTGGACCATGTGATGGTGTGGATGGCGTTACTGAGTTAAAGTAGGTGGAGTCATGGGTGTAGAATCAAGCTTTCCTGCCATGCCTACACTGATGGAAGGGCACGGGTGGGGAAGATATACAAAGCTGAAGTTGAGACACAGAGGACTGTAAAATCTCTGTCGGGAGTTATGTTTTTTATAAGTTGGGAAAACAATGCTTGGTGTGGGAACAGCTAGGCAAATCTTCATCCTGCCCTGAAGCTGTGGCTCTTCTCTTCTACTGGACCTGGAAGGGAACCTTGTATGTTCAAGAAGAGACTGCTGAGTCCTAAATTGTCTGCTTTTTCCTTAGTGTGATCTTGCTCCATTTCCCTTCCAAGGAAAAGGCTTGGCTATTACTTTTTGGTGAGTGTGACGGGCTCATAACTAATTGGATCAGGGTTACTTGACCCCAGCCAATAAATTATCAGATGCTTTGCCCTTACAGTCAATAGCTGAGGGGCTGTTGCCACTTCATAAAGTACAGTTCATCTTTTCAAAGATGAGGCAAGGTTCTACTTCTTTTCATTCTGCAAATATTTAATGTTATGGTCTATACACGGAGGAGTTAAAAAATAAAATATTTATGAACTGACTCTCTGAGGACTCAAATGATCTTCAGTGAGCAATTGAAAGGGTAGTGCTACAGATGAATGATGGTGCTGTACACGGAAAAACAGCCATCGTCTGGAGGAAAATATGCGGAATCCATATTCATGACTCACTTGTGGGTCTTGGCTGGCTTCTCCGGCTTCTCATTATATGGAATGACAAGGTCAACAGCAGAGTCTGGCTTCTGGAGGAGAATTCCCAACTTGATCTTGATCTCCTTGGCCCTGAAAGGAAAGATGTCAGGGAACAAGAATGACACACGAGCACACAAATCTAAAACAGTGATTTCTTTCTGCATCAGAGGAAGAAAAATGGAAAGAACCTCATTTGCTCCTTTCACTCCTGTTGCGACAAAAAGAATATCAGGGTAGAAAATAGGATGCCCAAGTTCCAATAATAGTGTTTAGAAGACACTGACTAATTTGTATTATCTTATCCCATTCTAATGTTGTCTTCATATTTTCTAATTTCCATATGATTGGTAATCCAGTCTTATTCCCATTTCACAGAAAAAAAAACTGAATGAGAGGAAGTTTAAATATCTCAATGCAACCCAGTCAATATGTGGTGAAGCCTGATCAGTCTGTCTCCAGAATTCTCAAATATCTAATTACTAACTGAACTGTCTAGCTTGGCCATCAACTGGGGCAAGTTTGATTTTATTTTTACTGACAGATCGCTGTTCCCTTTCTATGAAATGACAGAGCAATGCTAGATGCCTTCGTAAGCCATTTCCAATCCTAGAACTAAACTACGTTTGGCTGAACTGTTCTAAAAATCCTTGCTCACTGTCCCATTATAGCTGCTGTAGTACCCTCCTCACAGCAGCCTTCATAGAGGAGAAGAATCTCCAGCAGATGGGCCACAGATTCAATAGTCCTTTAACTTCAGCATTTTAGTGAGCAGATATGGTCAGAATTCCAGATGGTCTTCCATCATAGGACAGGATGTGAAGATTTTCACCTAGTTTTAAAACCAATTTTTGAAGAAAATCACCTTTATTTTATACTTTAAACAGACCATGGAAAACTGTATATACATCTATCTATCTATCTATCTATCTATCATCTATCTACATATATGTACCTATAGTGTGTGTGTGTGTGTGTGTGTGTGTGTGTGTGTGTGTGTGTTCACATTTGCCAAGACACATCTGTGGAGTCCAGAAGACAATTTTTGTTTAGTCAAAGTCTTCTATTTCTGCTCCTCTGAGTCCCCCAATCGATGCTCTGGGAGATCCAAGGTAACTCTCCCATTCCCACCTCCCATCTCATTGTAGGAGTGCCAGGGTTGTAGGTGTGATCCACAGCTTCAGGCTTGTGTGTTTCCTAGGGATGAAACTCGGGTTATTGGCCTGTCTTAAAAGCATGTTTACCAGCCGAGACATCTCGCCAGCCCTAAAATGCTAATCTTGGATACGAGTTCCCAGGACACCCCAGACTGCCCTTCCTTTGTCACTGTGGCATCCCACATGCACTTTTAAGATCGGGTTTATTGGGTCATTGTACTGCATTATGGTTATTGATCCGTGCCTGTTTTCCAAGCTGTATAGAAGAACCCTTTAAAGGTGGGAGTTGAGTCTTAAGTGCCTTTTAATCTTTGTGCCTGGTACTGTTGCTTGGCAACCTGGCAAATACTCAATAGTATTTGTCACGGTGAACTAAAATTATCCTGATTTTGTTTCTTACCAATCTGTTAATATTTGTCTCCAAGTCAGTATCAAACATCAGCAAAGCCTTAAAGAGCTATGATGGGGTCACACTGTAGCCAGGCAGGATTTTGATAGTGCAAACATTCTTAATTTATGCACAGAGATGACAAAGAGGTGAAACACATGGCCAAGATGAATAACTATGCATATATTAAAGCCAAAGTTTAAAAAGCCTGGTCTTGTAACCTACAAATCCCACAGATCTCCAATTACTACATTGAACTTTCTTTGAGATCAAAATATGATGCTGTAACTGACTTAGAAATAGTTAACTCTGTGATATCTATTTATATCTCTCTTTGCTTCCATTTTTTCTCTAGAAGGTTCTCGGTGAGCAAAGCTAGCTCTAGCACTCTGTAACATCAAGTAGAGCTCAGCAGAACAAAGCATTGTGATCGAAAGTATTCTGATAGGTGGGTCTTATATAACACATTGAATAAGATACCTCTCCCTTGATCCCAGGCTCTACAAGTTACTTAAATTATCTGATGTTAAGTTTTTCTGGCTTGGAAATCGGTACTGCTGGAATGGTAAGTTCTCAGATTTTTGTGATGATTAAAGGTGCTAGCGTGTGTGAGTCACTAGGCACAGTGTTTGGACACATTTCTGCATTTGCAAAGTTAGCTTCAGCTGCATCATCGCTGTTTCCACAGATTTAACCTGTTTCCTACCTAAAGCACCAAATAGAGGGGTCGAAAAATTACGTAGGCTATTTTTTAAATCACGAAAGCTTCCTCGAGTATTCTAACTCAGGAAGTACGACTATCCATATTACATTAATTGGAATAAAATTATTATTGGGAGTTGTTTGGGAAATGTAGGTAGCCCTTGGAGCTGCCCTCTGCTGGTCAATATGTAGCATTACGGCCAGAGATATAAGGTTTATCTTCTCTCTGCATTATCTGATAAAGAGTCCCCGCCTCTTGGCCTCCATATACCTTTTCCTTTGCACATAAGGAGAGATAATAGCAAATGCCGACCTCGACACATCACACCCACCAACACTTACATAAACACTAGTGGTCAGTGCTCATGTTTGGGGGCTTCCTATTCTTCCTCCCCCCCCCCCCCTTTTATGTCTTTGACCTTTTCTCATTTGCTTTATCTAAGCCATTTTCTTTTATAAGGTAGAAAGATACTGGTTTATAATCTCCTATGCACGAGTAATAGTCATGCATTAGAGGGTAGTTAGAACAAAGCAGTTGGGCATTTTTAATATATGCATTCATTCACTCACTCATTCATTCATTCATGCATACATGTCTTACTAATTTACAAACTATGTTTGATGTATTAGGTAGCACATAATAAACACACGAACACCCATAGACCTTGTGGTCTTTGCTGTCCAGGTGCCTACAGCCCATTGAGATCTTACATTGGGCTTTCCAGAAGGGAACAGGCCCTGCAGAGGAAGTCCCAGTCCCCTTTAGGGAGAGTCCAGGGGACTTCTCAAGGGAAGCAGAGGTAGAGTTGGAGAATGGCCAGTCATCACCCAAATGAGCGAGACCTGCTGTGTTCCTCACAAACTGGGGGACATTCACCTGACTGGCCTTCACGGCAGAGAGAAGGCCCTGAATGAACCGCTGGCTCGTGAAATGTGACATCGAGATCAGACTGCTGAATTAAACGAGGCTGTCATGTCTCCTTCTTCCCAATGGAAGGGTGACAAGGGACACCATGCTGCACCTAGCCTGTGGCACACTTGGCATGAGTGTAAGAAAGAGTTAAAGGTGGAGAAAAGGCAATTCAAAGGCGTCCCCCAAACCCCAGGAATGTCTTCTCTATATCATTTGTTCAGTGGGTTTGGCTTTGTGTGTGTGTGGAGTGATCTAGAGAAGGGCTGTTTACATCAGCTATTTTTTAAAAAAAAAAAAATCACGTTTTGAGGCTGGGGATGAATCGCAGTTGGCTGGATGTTCACCTCCCATGGGAGAAGCCCTGGGTTTGACCTGCAGAGCCAGTTAAACTGCGTGTGGTGGCAAAGGTCTATAACCCCACCACTTAGGAGGCAAAGGCAGGTAGATGAGTAGTTTAGGCTTGCCCTTGGCTACACAGCCACCCTGAGATGTACAATACTCACTATATAAACACACACGTATATGTTTGTGTGTGTTTTCCCTTCTCAGAGCTGGTAACTATACCTGAATACCAGGTACTCTTTTCCTCTTGTTTGCCTCGGGAATGCAGGTGTGTGTGTGTGTGTGTGTGTGTGTGTGTGTGCAGTGTTCTTTGGAAAATACTGTTTGGGAAGCACTTCATTCCTGCCTTAAAATACAGGCTGATGGAGAGGACACTGGGAAGTTAGCGGGAAGTCACCTGACCTAATTATTCATTTGCAGCAACACAGAAAAGCATGATTATTATTGCATTTATGCTCACCAAGCGGTAATCGTTTAAAGTTGACAAATGATAGAGGCATAACCACTCTGAATACTGAGCATCTTAGAACAACAAAACAAACAGAAAGAACACAGAGTTGCTACACTGCTTGAGAGTTCCTGGAAAACGGCTTCACCTCGATTGCCTTCCTTCCCGTCAGGAGTCTCAGACAAGTGTGGGAATAGCACAAATCCACAGGAAAACCAAATTAGCTCAACCTTGCCGAATTAGCTCCCCCTCCACTTTAATGATAAACCTGAATGCATCTGACATCAATTTGGTTTCATAAGCATCTCTATCTGGAGAGGAAAACTTTCTAATTTGTTTACCTCGCCAGCCACAATCTCTCGCTTTCTTTGACTGCACACTAGGCATTTTTCCCAGGTTAAATTACATTAATGCTGATTAACAAGGAATGATTTATATCTTCTCTGGTCTACCTCCCCCCTCCTCTTGTTATCCTTTTGTGTTACAAGTGGGAAAAACAAAAACAAAAACTTGTTCTGAAATAAAATCAATTGGAAACGCCCAGCTGAGAGTTTAATTGCAGGCTCGGAGGAAGATAGTTCTAGAGATGAGTCACGTCAGTGACTTCAAGCTGCAACCAACGGTCTGAATAGTCGCTCCCGTGTGGGGACGCTGGCCAGGGGGTTGGAATCCCAAGTTCTAACCTTCAGAGGCAAGGCCAGCACCAGGTCTCCCTACAAACAGAAGCCGCTCAGCCTCTTTAGAAATAGAACTGCACTGGAGACAATGTGACTGAGAACCTATAGAGAAGCTCGGATTCTGGATGTTTCAAGGATTAAGATGGCGTTTCTGGCCCTGGTGATGTTTGGAACAGCTCCAAAGGGCACAATTGTACACCGTACAAACTATATTGTAGATGTTTTCTCTATCACTGAAAACATTGATGAGATATAAGGGGAAAAGTCTATGTGCCTTCTTGCTTCCTACAAAAAGCAATAAACACCCATGGAAATGCACAGACGCACCCCCCATGTTTGTTAGCAACCATCTTCAGCTATGCCCCCCCCCAACTCCCTGCGATCTTCTGAATATGACTGCTTCAAATCACATTCGACTAATTAGGTTCACTGGGGAGACATAAAGCCACCAGACGGCTGCAAGGAC